GTTAAACCTGGAAATCCAACCATCACTTGCCCAGAAACTCGGTATTCCAAGACTGGCTGCAAACTTGCTTGCAGCATTTCTTCTTTCTGTACCACGGATTGTCAAACCAATTGTGCGGTACTCTGCAAACCACTTATACACAGCCTCGTCCTACTGTGTACAGTGTGCAGGCTTCAGAGTTTTTCTATTACACCCTTATCTAGTGCATGCTTCCTCACTCTCACTAGTAGCTATGCATTTCATGTAGTCTTTTTTGTTTCCTTATATTATCGACTACTAGGGCCTATACCAAAATCCTTCGCAACACTCACAACTGACTGGCAAGTTTCACAGAGTTCAGTGACACGTAGCTTATCTTTAATGGTTAGCAAAACTTTTTTCCTCCTAACGTCTCCAAGACAGTTAGTTGCTGCTGCTACCAACATAATCTTGGCAAAAAATCATCAAAGTTACTATAAAAACAAAAAGTTAAAAAAAATTTCACTAATCGTGTGGCATTGGTAGAGAAGGGAGAGAGCACATGGATTGTTTAGGCTGACTGGGCCTAACTGGCATGTTAAGTAGGCCTAAGTAAGCCACCAGATGAAAAATAAATCTCCTAATTTTAGTAGGGAACTACTGTCCACACTCAAGCCTGTACAGTTTTTTTTAATTTGTATTAGATAATATTTCTTAATTTTTTACTGTACAGGTAATTGTTAATGTAATTTTTGGTTATACAATATCCATAGACCCTTCCACGTGCCTCTCCCAACTATTCCCTGACACCTTCCTACCTCGACCCCACCCCCAACACCACCTATACTCCACTCCCCAAGCCACTGCTGTACTGGATTAACTACGGTATGGCCCAATGCTGTTCTCGATTATCCGAAAAAATCTCCAGTTTTCCGTATTTGTCCGTATATAGTGAAGTTCAGCAGAAAATTATCTGGACTTGATTTAGACTCTACTAGTATGCGTTATCTGAATTTCTATCCGAATATGGTGAAGTTTTGCAAGATAAATATCCGGATGTGATTTTGGTCGGATAATCCAAATATCCAGTTCATCAGGCTTTGGATAATCGAGCCCATACAGTACAGTACTGTATATCCTTTTGAAGGCAAGATCTCCATGCTTGGATATGGAGTTAGGATAAGTGCACCAGAGATTTGTACCTTTTTTTTCATCTTATTAGCTACATGATTGCATTATGATAGTTATGATGTGTACTATTATGCCCTACATGCAAATCCTTGCATATTTAATATTAAAAAAGCATTTGTGAATTTTTTTTTACTATTTGTGAAGTTCAGGTAGATTAATGTCTTTCAGTTTATCATAAATCTGTAAATTTGATGTGGTTTGTAATAGTCTTGTCTATACTAGTATATCGAGTAAGATTAATTTCCATTTAGGATGACCATTTTCGGGCTTCGTTTTAATCCGTACAGTACTAATATTTTCCATTTTATTCCATTTGCTTGCAATTTCCTTGCCAGTCTTTCATGTTGTGCCTTTATGCTAAGTTACAAAAAAGTCCTCTGTCTTAGTAGCTACTGTAGTTAGTTTCCAAAAATGTGAGCAGGTTGGCTACCTTGAGGTTACCTTGAGGTGCTTCCGGGGCTTAGCGTCCCCGCGGCCCGGTCGTCGACCAGGCCTCCTGGTTGCCGGACTGATCAACCAGGCTGTTGGACGCGGCTGCTCGCAGCCTGATGTACGAGTCACAGCCTGGTTGATCAGGTATCCTTTGGCTAAGCAGAATTTATTTTTAACATTACAATCCGTGATTAAATCAATTGGAGCACTAAGGTGACTCGAACCACCAATCAGGGTACACCACCCGCACATCTTACACCTGTACCACGACATGGAATAAGCTAAACATTCCTGCGGATTCAGTGGAATCCCAAGTTGTGTAACTTGGGATTCCACAGATAACATACCATGTCATGGTTCAGGGGTAAGTGGCATAGCTGGGAGTATCCTGATCTCCTGCGATAGAGGCACAGATTTTGCAGGAAAGAGATGGTTGGTTTGACTGCATTTATCTGGACCTAAAATAGGCTTTTGAAAGAGTTCCATATTAGAGGTTGTTGTCCAGGTCTCCTTGAAGGGCATGCCAATTATCTAAGTTTCTACTCTTCCCTGTTATCTTAGCATAATCAGTAAACATGTTCATATAATTCTGTATTTCATCTGGTAGATCGTTTATGTAGACAATGAACATTACTGGTGCAAGACCTGAACCCTTTGGTACTCCACTCATGACATTTCTCCAGTGTGGTACATTTCCTCTAATTGCTGCCCTCATTTTTTTGTCAGAAAATTTTTCGTCCATGTTAGAAGCCTACCTGTCACTCCTTCAATATGTTCCAGTTTCCAGAACAACCTCTTATGTGGAACTCTCTTGAAAGTTTTTTAGGTCCAGATACAGTAGATGCAGTCAACCCAACCATCTTTTTCCTGTAAAATCTCTGTGACTTTATCTAAGAAAGAGTAAATTCGTTACACAGGATCTTCCAGATCGAAAACCATACTGTCTCTTGTATAGTTTTTCTCCAGGTGTTCTACCCATTTAGTTTTAAGTATTTTTTCAAATATTTTGACTATTACACTTGTCAGTGATACCAGTCTAAAATTGAAGGGGGGCCTCCCCTGCTGCCACTTTAGTAGATTTGAGCTATATTAGCTTTTTTCCACACATTTGCTAGGACTCCTGTACACAGGGATGCCTGGAAAAATTAGTTGAAGTGGAATGCTGAGCTCATGTGCACATTATCTCAGAACCCATGGTGAAACTCTATCTGGGCCAACTGCTTTGTTCTTACTTAGCTCCTTGAGCATTTTTTCATTTCATTTCTAGACACCTCTGTGTGCTCTGTTCTCTGAAATTCTTATTGTGTTTGGTTCATTGCAGAATTCATTTTGTACAAACATGCTTTGGAACTTTGCGTTTAATGTTTCACGCATTTCCTTTTCATTTTCGGAGAAACTGTTTCCCCATTTTCAACCTCTGAATATTATCCTTTACCTGCAATTTGTTGTTGAATCTATAGAATGTAGAGAGTAGCTCTTATCCTGTAACTACATTTAGGTAATTACACTTGGTTAATTACAGATCATCAACCAGTTCCTTTATGATTTTGATTGAATGCTATCCACATCTGGAGCTTTAGATTCATTTATTTTGTAACTCTTCTTCCTGATTATTTTGCATGTAATGATGTTTCTTAGCACATTGTCTTTTACTTAAAACATTTGTACTTACTATTTGTGCCTGTAGGATCAAGCTGTTTAGCTCTTGGACCTCGGCTTTCTAATGTTTAAAGTAACGATTTCTGACCTATGTTTGCTCTATCATATCTATTACATATATTTATCTCTATAGAAATCTATAACACACACATCCCCAGGATGTATCCCATAGCAACTGTCTAACTCACAGGTACCGATTTACTGCTAGGTTGAACAGAGACATCAGTTGAAAGAACCTCTGCCCATTTATTTCTTCCTAAGCCGGGAATCAAACCCAGGTACCTTAGGATTATGACCCCCGAGTGCTCTGCGCTTGACTGCGAGGGCGTGTAATTACACAAGTGTAGTTACAGGATGAGAGCTATGCTCTTGAAGTCCCATTCTCCCAGTACTGTACTCATCATCGTATGACACTTTGAAACCACCTACCGATGATTTTGACATCCACTGCCTTCTTGTTCCAACCATCTACCCCACTATTTGTAAAAGAGAACTTTCTAATATTTTTCAGCATCTTTGGTTCCTTAGCACGACCCTTTTGGTTCCTTAGCTAGAACCTTTTGTTCTTGAAGTTGCAGGTTTTAAAATATCCTCTTTGTCAGTTTTGTCAATTCCTGTTACTATTTTGTATGTACAGTAGTGATCATATTGCCGCTTCTGTCTTTTAGCTTTGGCTTATTTAATGCCTCTAGCCTCTCCTTGTATGACTTCTTTTTCAGTTACAGAAGCCATTTCATAGCATGCCTTTGTACCTTCTCTAATTTATTCATGTTTCTTTTTGAAATGTGAGTACCATACAACTGCTCATTGGCAGCTTGTGAAAAAATACAATATATAAGGACTGTTACTGTTACTGCAAGCTCAACTTTGTCAGATTCGGCGCCGTTAAATCCTACACTATCGTACAGCATGACACCTCTATTTTTGTCTTTTTAATTAAAATCAGTTAGAAATATGTTGAAAATAACATAGACTGTTTTGTTATGACATTTGTTAGTTGCTTATTTTTCTAGTGTGAGGATGATGGAGTCATAGACCTGGCAGTGAGTGTCGGGAGGACTGCAGCTCAGCAGCTCCTATGGGCAAGCCACCACTGCAGCAGGTGCTGCATATTCTAACTTTAGTCTCACAAAAGTCACGAACAATTTCTTTAATATTTCACCGTCCATGTATTTAAAAGCGATTGTGAAGTTGGAAAGCGTCGCATATGCTCCTCTTAGAGTGTCATTTGTGTGGTCCTCTGGTGACAGTCTATTATCCAGAACCACCCCTAGATCTCTGTCTTTGTCGGAGTTCTTAAATTCCTTTCCACATAACTTGCAGGTTGTGTGTGTAACCTACTTTTTCCTAATCCACATTGCATAACATGTTATTTATTCAGATTGAATTCCATTTGGCAAGTGTTGCTCCATACACTTATTTTGTCTAGGTCATCTTTAATGGCATGAGAATCGTCTTAAGTCTCTTATCTTCCCCCAGTAGTTTAACATCATTAAACATGTTCATATCTTGTGTTCCTTCTGGTAGATCGTTTATATAAACGATGAATATTACTGATGCAAGAACCAAACCTTGTGGTACTCCACTACTGACATTCTTCTAGTGTGTGGGTGTTGGGTTGTCATATCCTGTTAGTGGGAACACTAAAGTAAAGTTTTCATTCAGTGTTGGATGGCTTTTTACCATGAGTTATAACTTTGTTGGTCTCATCTTTTAAGGGTCTTATTGAAGCCTTTTATTTCTTGTTACTCCTTATATAGACATAGGCACAACGTCTAAGAGTGCTACTAGCTTGGGTGGGCTGTCACATGCTGTGTCAGCATGCAACAGAGACAAATGAGAAAGGAGTACCAAGTGACAAAGGAGTTTCGTACTAGGTCAAGAAATTGTTCTTCCATTTGTGATGTTAGATTAGCCCAGCCTGTTGTCTCACGGCTCAAATGCCCATTATAAGAACTTGTGCGTCAGCTGCTGCATGTATCACATTATACAGGTCTGTAAATACTTGTACCATTATTGTATGCTCCCACTATCTGTTTGAAACCATTTTAATATTGCACCATTCAGACTAATTATCCCATGTTGAATTTTTCATTGCTAGTTACGGTAAAGTCCTCTTTTGTATACAGTATAATGCTAGATTTGGCTACCCGGCGGTGCGTGGGTCAACCCCAAAAGGTTGAATTATTTTATTGTTAGGAGCCTGGGTTGACCTAGAGGGGTGGATGTTGCCATGGGATCTGACCCCCCTTTTAGTGGGAGCAATGAGGCCAAACCATGTTGGTCACATTACCCTCACTAGTCACTCGGGAAAGTTTAGTAAAGCTTAAGTACCAAATGTCTTTGCCTCCAACCTTCAATAGACATTTTCTCTTACAGATATACATTATCCCCCTCCTGTTCTGGTTTTCTCCTTTCTGGAAGGTGGGTAGTGTACCTTGGAAGAAGGAATTCCCTTCACTTGTATCCTCTCATTCCTATGTTTTGCTGATGCCAATGATGACATGATTCAACCTCGGTATGTGCCCACAATGAGGACAATTTATATACTTGGCTTCTGGCATTTATATAGAAGCAATTTCAACTCATGACGTTATTTCTAGGGTCTGAGATTGGTCCTGAATTTGGCACATTATTATTCTGTATATTGAGCATAAGAATAAAAAGGGAACTGCAGAAGGCCTTTTGACTAATACGAGGCAGCTCCTATATATTTCAACTCAAGTTCATTGTGTCTTTTTGTTGGTGTGGACTTATGAAGTTAGTGTTGACTAGCAGAGTATAGGACTTTGTCTTCTACTTATATTGATCACTTGTCTCCTTATCTTAAGCTTTAAATTTGTGTTGTGAGGTACTATTCTCAACTACTTTAGCTTGTCTTTTTTTACTGTGAGGTTCAGGGTAGATGATGTACTCATTCAGTACATCATCATTGTACTGAATGTACTCATTCAGTCTTAAATTTATACATTTGAATATGCCATTTTTTTTTTGTTTTTTTCCATAACCGTCAAAGTGCACAATTAACTCGACCCAGGTTTGCTCCCATATACAAATCCTAAAATATTAGATTTTGTTTTAATTTTTTTGTTTCTAATCGAGTTAATAACAATATTTTAAAAATTCCACATTTCTTTGAATGTACAGAATTTCACCATAATAAAATTTAGAAATTTATCAGTCCCTCGAATTTCGATAGTTACACCATATTTTTTTTTGTTTCTAAGATTCCTAAAAAAAGTAATGGGTGACAAGAAATGGCAAAAATAGCCACAAATTAAATATTTTGCATGAATATTTTTTGGGTGCAATAACACCATGTGCTCCAAAATTATTCTAATTGGTGACTATAATTACAACTAATAATTTGGAAATAATAGATAGAAATAACAAATGTTTGTAATTGTTTGGGTTTATAAGCAGAACACAATTCTCATAAATTTCTATAGTGAAAAATGTTAGTTGACACAAGCACCATTCTAAAGGGTAAATGATTTTAGTAGATATCCAGAAAGACGAAAACCAATTATTTTACCGTATGCCTAATACTATCTACAGTTATAATGCGTCATGATTTCTAATGTGCCCATCCTTAGAAAAAGGCCTTGGCAGTTTTAACGAGAAATGGCACGTGCTCTTTTGGCCGATCAGAAAGTGTCCTGTTTTCAGCAACCCAGGTCCCAGCTGAGGTCATTTCATATTACTACAAATGATGAAGATGTATCCTGTTAGCAGACTGATTTTTGAGGTATGTATTCTTCATAGTTTTAAAATCACTGTTTAAAGTGAGGGGTATCTGGGTTGTTTGAAAGTCAGGATGCACATTTTAAAATTGTTATTCAAAATCAGTATTGCTCGGACGCTCCAAATATCATGGTAAAATTAGTTAAAAAGTAGAGATTTGGCATTTGAGTAATAGCTACTAAGTTAACATTTAACAGAAACAAGCTCTGCTCATTTAATTTTGCAGATGAAGTGAGAGGAGCAGGGGCCTTGAATGGAGCATCACCATGTGTCAACAATTAATCCTGAATGAGCAAATTGGAAGCCAGCCTCAGAAAACAACCTGATATCCCATGCTTGTGAAACAGAGTTTAAATAAAATTGTTTAACTTACCCTTGTCTTATATTTTCCTTTAATAGAAAAAACCCCTTTATTGAGTCATTGATTTCAAATACAGTAATGTAATGCTTGGTGGGTGGTATATATATTACTGGTAATTTTGCATGTTTAGAAGATGTGTTGTAAACTTTATTTGTTGTATTGCATATGATAAACATTTTTTTATGTAATTATCTATAAATATTGCATTTTTTCATTGCAGACATGTATGTGGTAAGGTGACCATTAATTGGATGGTGCTTGCCTGGAACTACATTCTATCGGCCAAATGTTAGAACCAGGCACAATGGAGGCCAATCAGAACACGTCGGGTATGATGTGGTATAACTACAATCCTGTAGATGGCCTTATTACTACTAGTGCTCCAGTGCAAGTTGAGCTAGGGACGGTTGACATAGCAAGACAAATTAATCAACAAGTCCAGTTACAGTATGGAAGCCTACAGGCAGTACCAGCCCAAACCCAGCACCAGATAATAGTTGCTCATCAGCCACAACCTCAACCTTCTCCATCAATGCCAGAACCACCAACAACTCCCAAACCACCAAAGCCTCGTACAAGGCCAGCAAATGGTGAACGGGTGCCATGTGGTGAGTGTGGAAAGACTTTCTCTTGTAATGCAAACTTAAGAGATCACATAAGACTTCACACTGGTGAAAGACCATTTATTTGTAGTGAATGTGGAATGTCTTTTGCTCAGCGCTCCAATTGGAGGTTACATAAACGTGTCCATACCGGAGAAAGACCTTACATGTGCGGTATATGTGGTAAAACATTTTCTCGTAGTTCCCATTTACCTGGTCATATGAGAGTTCATACTGGAGAAAGACCTTATTCCTGTGAGCAGTGTGAGCATTCATTTGCTTCTGCACAAGCTCTTAAAAATCATGCACGCACCCACACAGGTGAGAAACCTTTTGTATGTGAATATTGCCAGACTGCTTTCACACACAGTTCATCCTTGTCCTCTCATAAGAAAAGATGCACGGGTGAAAAGAGAAAACGTGGTAGACCTCTTGGTAGTGGCCGTAAGACTTATAGAAAAAAGCCAACTGGTAGACCTCGTGGGCGCCCTAGAAAGAAAAGTCGTTACAGTAAAAGGGGTCGCAGGAAGAACCCTCCACCCGAGGAACATTCAGAACAAAAAGAAGTTACTGTAATTAAAGCAGAGATTCATAGAGATAATGGTGAAGAAGTTCAGATGCAGTCAGTGATACAGGCAAAACAAGAGATTGAAGAAGTGCCCACTGTAATTGTTGACGCAGACTCCGTGGAAGTAGATCATGTTGGCCTATCTGTTGATCCATTAGATTTAAATAGTACCCACATACCACAGGAAGATGAGCTTACACAAGAATCTATATCTCAGGAAAATCATCATCTTCATCATGAAATGATACCACCGGAACAAGTTGTGTCTGTGGCTGCAGCAACTGTAGGCTTGGATGAAACGAGCAGTCTTCATCAAGAAGCAGCTGTTGCTATGGCTGCTTTACATGAGGGAGCAGCTCTTAACTTAGCTCATCACCAGTTGCCTCAAGAGACGTATGTTAAGAGAGAAGCGCCTCATACTATGTGGTATCCAAAGCAACACTACTAAGCCATTGTGATCGAGGTTGCTGGTTACTGTCATTTTTTTAAACTAAATTAAAATAACCATTAGCTTGGATTGCTAATGTAAAACAACCTTCCATATTGCACCATTAACCCACACCAGAAAGACTTAAGAGACCCATTGTGAATAGAATTGTGGGCTATGAATTCTAAACTTGTTCATCTTCTGGTTTACTTTCTGTTCACAACTGAACAAATGGTTTTATGTCTTAATATTATTTTTGTACTTGACTAATAGCTACTTATGTATTTTGTAGGTAAGTTTCACAATATACAGCTGACAAATGTATCTTGTAAAGTCGTTGAATTTTATAGAACTTTATATAGTCCTGTGTATATTTTTTGTGCTCCCTGTGAAGACCCTGACAACACATTTTACATTAACTGATTATTAAAAATTCATTGCTATTGAATTGTGAAACCTTAGGTCAGATCAATATTTTTAGGTTTAAGTTTTTTATATATAAATTGTTAAATTCAGGGAAATTAGTTGAAAAGTAAACATTTCACTATATTTGCTGTATCTTTTCTCCATCTGAATTTATTGTGTTAACCTAATGAGCTTGAAGATTTAAATAATTAAGTCATATTATAAACACATTATTTGTTGAAAATTAAATTGTAGTTTCACATTTGTTTAAATAAATCTTCAGAATATTTTTCTCAGGCTGTTAATATTCCATTGTGAATTGTCACTGAACATTGGCAAATAGATTTTTGAAAGATAATGTTGCATGTAAATGAGACGTGAAAATACTACCAGACTATACAAAGAGCAGAGGACAAAATTTGATGATAATGTTCCGCCTTGCTCACTTTGGGTGTTGTCATTGGGAACACGTTATAATGATTTTCTAACAAATTTATATTGAATGTTCAATTGCACATACATTGATCATAGCAGTATTTATTTCATTAAATGTATACTGTTAAAATATTGTTGCTACATTGAATTTTATATATTGGTAACTTGAATGTCATATTCTTTCTTGATCAGTTAAGTGATTAGTACAGTTCAAGTCCAACCAAGTCAAGTCCAGTTCAACCAGTTCAAGTCCTTTTTGTGTTGGGAGAAAATGTTATTGAAATTCATATGCCGGTATTTAAGATTTTGGCTATCGGTAACATCTGGGACCACATATGCTTAGTTGTTTTCAGGTAGGGTCTACACACTTGTAAAATGTGATAGAATTGCAGCACTTACAGCTGGCTGTTATAATAATTTTAAACCCTACCCTCCGTCTACCAGTGCCTAAATTGTAATTGGTTTTTAAATGGATTTATTATTTAGAAAGCTTGCACAAAATGTATTTATGACTCTGGATGGGGAAATTTCCATAAAGTAACTAGGTAATTTTTCTATCTTAAGATGCTACTGTAATTTAAAATGTTAGAGACTTAAATGCATATTTGATCCTTTGTACAGTATTCATAAATGCTACTTGCGAGTTTACATTCACGTACAATTTCTTTATTTGTATTTATTTATTTATATATATATACAAGAGGTCTTACATTCTTGTACAGTCTTTAATAGTGCTTATATAATTCACAACTTCATCATTGGTTTGAAATATTTTGTAAATTTTGGACATAGAAAGTCATTAAATAATTTGTATGATTATTAATTTAATTTTAATAACCAGAAAGGTGAAATAGAACTGAAAATTTTCAGGCTACTTCTACCCTTCGAACACAGGTTTCATAGTACTGGACTTTGCAATCTCCAGGTGTCTGGTGCTGCAAGAGGCAGGTTTACCCCTCGTCTATAATGAGGACTTTGAGGCTTTCATGATGCAAACATGTACAAAATCCAGTCCTTACCTGTTGTTTTCTCTCCATGGGCAGAGGTTCAGTTTGTTTATCCATTATCTGCTCATTCTATCTCCTTCCCAACACCTCAAGGATGTTTATCCATTATCTGCTCATTCTATCTCCTTCCCAACACCTCAAGGAGGACTCCTAATTGATCTAAGTTATGGGCCTCTGGTTTATGAAGTATTGGCACTGGGTCTTTTCCGGCAGTAGAGACGTCAGTTTTGGGACCCAGTGTCTCATCTGTGGTTCATCCTTTGTGTTTGTAGCAAGATTTGAAGGTTACAGGAGTGGTGGGCTCTTTGACCCTGTCCCACCTTTTCTCAGATCTTGGAGTAGCTTTGGGTATGGTTCTCTTCTTACGGAGTGGGGGGGGGGTCAGATTACTACAGGCTAAGCAGTGGGTGCTCTTGATAGAGGTGCATCAGTAGTGCCAAAACTTGACAGACTACTTCTTTTGTTGCTCCTCATTATCTGCCATCCCAGTTTGAGCTGGAGGCTGTCTCCATTTCCCCTAAGGTGTTTTTTTTAAGGTTTCTGTTTGGGGTCAGGACTCTTTCACACATTGCAACGTTCTTGCTGCTCTGGCTAAGTGCTTACCTATCAGTGACTGGGAGAGTTGAGATCTAGCTCTTTATCCCCCGCCTCCTAGCTGCTCTGGCTAAGTGCTTACCTATCAGTGACTGGGAGAGTTGAGATCTAGCTCTTTATCCCCCGCCTCCTAGCCAGTCATACCTGGTGTGCTAATTACCCGTCTCAAGGTTAACATTCTCATTTGTTTTTTATTAAGTTGTGGATGCATCCTCAATTTCGTATTCAGTAGCCAGAACATTATTTTAGAAATGTTCCTAAATACATTAACTCTTAGACAGCAGCTATGGAGAAATGGTCATATGAGCCTATGCACAAAATATATAAACATTCCAGGAAATAATTTTTCATACTAAAATTATTAAATTGTATGCAGTGTGTAAGAAAAACACAAAAATAAGTGAATGTTTAGTTTCAGTGGGTGGAGGTGCTCTGGCACTTGTCAACGCCTGGTGCTCGACTGTGAAGCTTCCTGTTTTATCCTCCGACGTTTCACTAATTATTATCACTTGTGTTTCTTTATTTACATTCACAGAGCTATTATATCCATATTTGTATCATACATGTAAAACCCAAGACAATAATTGTTTAAATCATGACGATGACGATGATTAAATCATGACGATGATGATCGCATTTCCCCAGTAACATTTATGATGATAACCGCATTTGTACCATGAAATGGTAGGATTTTTTTTTAATGGGCCAAGGTAAACTCCATTACATCGATTTAGACCTATTATATCCATATTTGCATCATACATGTAAAACCCAAACAATAATTTTTAAATCTTCATATGATAACCGCATTCCCCTATGAATCAACAATTGATGATTACCGCATTACCCTGTGAATCGACAATTGATGATTACTGCATTACCCTGTGAATCAACAATTGATGATAACTGCTGTCTAAGGGTTAAGTTCAGCTTCATAGCTGCTTACTGGTTATTTTGAAAGCTCCTAAGTTCCTCCTTGTTGGCAGACAATCCTTTATTCTCCCTTGAGAGATGGGCTTATTTATGTCATTTGAGCATTCTGAATTGGAAAGAGGTTGCCACAATTTTTAATGTGTTTTTAAGGGGGGTTTTGCTTTCTACATGCTTACTGGATTTATTTGCTCCTACCCTTTCCCATGGCATGGGTTCATGGCAGCTCCTTATCCAAGCTTCCAAACGTCTGGTTGCTTTAGTTGCAGTAGACCCCAAGTCTGGTGCCCATTTAGCCGAAGTTCTCTTTTTTTTTCTCTCTTTTTTTTTTTTTTTTGTATCCCTTGCTTTTTATACAAAAATGCGTGAAGGTAGGGGTTCCATACCTCTGGTTCCTTTTCCTCCTTGTCTACCATAGTATCTGCATTGGCTGTCATACTGAAATTATTTGCACCTCTTCTTCATGATGCTAACATGCAATCTTTGAACATCTGAAGAAGTCTGCTGGGTCTCTCTTTACTGTTAGGGTGGGATTAGTAGTGGCTGCAGCAGGAGCATCCTCATAGACTTGGGGTATTTCGACTGTAGTCTGCTTCGGGTATCTTCTGTGACTGTTCTAGGGAACAATTTTTGTCCTGGCTTCTTATTGAGGTAGAGGTTTTAGTCCTGTGGCTCCACCACAGGCTGAGTTTGGTTGGTGCCTCTCCAATGTTTGGCTACGTTTCGTGACCATCAGGGTTTGTCCCATTAGCCCTATTATAAGGTTCAGTGACTTATGTGGGGTGGGGGGGGGGGGACATCTAGGGAAGGAAAGAGGAATTTTTTTGGCTGACTTGGACCTAGGACGTTTGGGTGTTAAACACCTCTATGTCTTCTTTTCCTTGCTAGGTGCCCAGAGTTCCATCTCAGCCATCCTGTAGACTTGGGAAGGAAATGCCCAAGCCCTGACCTTGAAGTCATCAAGAACACGGGCAGGAAATGTTCCATTCAGCTGGGCTCTAGGAGACTTGAACCGTGGACCCCACACGTGTGAGGCCGAAGCTCTATCGACCGAGTGGTGGGGCTATGCTCTCTCCTTCTTCCTCTCTGCCTCTAGCCTTCTCTCTCCTTTGACCATAAATGAGTTCTATGTTGATTGTTGACCAGACCACACACTAGAAATTGAAGGGACGACTTCTATGAGTTCTTCTATGACTTCTATGAGTTCTTCTATGACTTCTATGAAGGAGTTCTATGTTATTGTTTTGACCCTCAAGCAGTGGTCACTTGGTTTGGCCAACCAAGGTGCATCATTCTTTGTCCTATCTGTGCTGTGCAGCATGGCTTGTGTGCTACTCATGCTTAGTGAGCTGTGGCCTTGTCATTTATCTTTTTTTAATGCTGTATTCTATGGCAAGGCTTTCTCAGGTTATCTGTTGGGTGTTGGTTCAGCCAGGATAATGTGTCTGCATACATATGTGAGCAAGTATGCTGCTCTTATTGCCTTCTTTTCTAAAACTCAGGCTTTGGGTTTCTGGCAGTTAAACTATTTGTGGACTACTTGTTATCTGTTGATTGCTGCTCCTTGAGCTGATTGGGCCTGTGAGTATCTTTAGAGATCAGGCGATGAGTCACAATAACGTGGCTAAAGTAAGTTGACCAGACCACACAATAGAAGGTGAAGGGACGACGACGTTTCGGTCCATCTTGGACCATTCTCAAGTCGATTGTGTACAATCGACTCGAGAATGGTCCAGGACGGACCGAAACGTCGTCGTCGTCCCTTCACCTTCTAGTGTGTGGTCTGGTCAATTTAGAGATCAGCCCTGCTAGCTTTGTTTCTTTCAGTTTATCACAAAACACCATATGATCTAACTGCATTGAGGTGTAATTACTCTTGTGATAAATGTTCAGTAGATGAAGGAACACATCTTCTGTGTGAAATCTTCATAATGTGCAAAACTCCATTGCAGTTGTTAACGTGATCAAAGAAGTCATGTTGATGACTGACCAAATATGAAATAACACTTTTTTTAATGGTGGTGTATCATCTGAATACAGCTGTTAGACAGTTTTATATACATTATTCCTAAATAATAGCTGAATCCAGTCAACATTTTGGCACGCAGAAACTTGACTGAGGACATAATAGGTTTGTAATGTGAAGTTCGTGAAAATAATGTTGAAAAATGGACAAGTACAGTACTGTATTTATATAATTTTTGGACTACACAAATAAGTTGAAGACTGCAATTCAAGGAAAACCAATTCTTTTCTTCATTCATTGTTAATCTTTATGTAAAGGAGAATCCTTCAACTAACTTTCATTAATTTTTCTAACTTG